GACCCGGTTGATAAAAATTTCGGGTCGGGTAGTCGGGTACACGGTTACCCGGATGACTGTTTGGATCCCTAATCATAATTGTGGTACCGTTACCAATTTTGGGATCAACTCTAAAGATTGTTAACATTACTACGTATGCTAAGAGAGGTACGCCATTTTATTAGTATTAATACATTAGAGATACTTCAAGTGATAATTTTTGGTAAAGTTCTAGAGATTCAATTCAGTTAAAAATATTACGTGTAGGATGGAAATGTTTTTTAAATTACTCTGCACAAAATATCAACATTTGAACAAAAATTTATTAAAAAAAATGATCAATGTGACAATGACAATTAGTTAATAACGATAAGAAAAACATTAGTCCTCTTTAATCTTTGACCCAATCAAAGATTCCATCAAATTTATAACACTATTTACAAAAAGACTCGCAACAGACCAAACGATCCAAATTATAGTACCCAAGATAATCAAAACTCCACCCAATAATACACCAAACACGTCAAGATATTTGCCTCGAATAAAACCCATTCTCGTATCTGGTGTGATTAATTCATTCAAATAAGAATTTGTAAAATCACTTTTACTCATATCATCAGTTACTATTTGACTAGAATTAGCATGCATTTCTTCATCAACATTCGTCGGTGCTAGTTGAGAGGCCAATAAAAGAAATTCGACCAAATCAGCAGCTCTATGCTTTCTCTTACTATTAACCCTTGCCAATACTTGCATTCTTCTAGCATTAATTTGAATACTTTCGTCAGTTTGCAATTTTTCAAGTTTTGAAATTATGTCTTCAACTTGAAGATTAAGTTTTGATATAATTAAAGCCACACCAGCAGCTTCTAATGCTTCGGCATTTCCCATTTGATCAAAAGCAATAGGTAAACTCAACATTGGGGTTGCAGTGTATAAAGCTTCGTGAGCACTTCCTTTACCTGCATGGGACAAAAATACTTTGACATTTGTATGATTTAAAAGAGCGAATTGTGGTACGTATTGAGAAACATGAATATGAGGATTTTGATTATTTAGAATTTCATCAGTTGATATAGTAGAATCATCAGATAATGTTATAGTCGAAGGAATATCGCCATCAGAGATTTGCACAAGTGCCCAGATTATTCCATCAATTACATTACGATCGATTGCTTCGATAAAGGATTGAAGCAGAATTCCAATATTTTTAGGAGTGGTATATACATGAGTACCGAATGCAACAAGCATTGTTCGTTTATGTTTTGTGAGAAATGAAGAAAGAGCTGGAGTTATTGATTCATATTCGTCCTGCATCACGGGGCCAACTTCCTAATAATTTTAGAGTAGAATTTTTTTTTTTTTGATATATTAATTGATTACATTAAAAGATTAGATAATATGCAATACCTACTTGAATAAGAGGGGGTAGATGGCTTGGGGTCTAAAAGTTAAAGGTATGTTAAATTGATATGATATGATCGTCAAACAAATATTTATGAAGTGAGAATGGAATTTAAGTGAATTCTGAATTTTGAATTTTGTATAATAATAGAAATTAAGATTAGGTCAAAACATATTAGACGGTTCATACAAATATTACTAAAACCTAAATTTAATTAAGAAATTCAAAATTCATTTAAATTCCATACCCACTTATAATATTGAACAACAACTCACTTCAAAACCAAAAAATGTATCAGCAAAAAAAAATGTATCTTTTATCCTTTCTATAGAATTAGAAGTAGGAGCAATGCCTATAGTAGCTCTAATTTCATTCAACTCGTTCATATACTTTCTAGATTTGTAAATGATTCTCATAGGCGTGATAATAGCACATCGAAATCTTTCAAAAAAAGATTCATGTTCCATATTCGCATGACATCCAAACATTGGATCAGATTTATAGGGAGAATATAACCTTGCTTCAAGAATAATAATAATTTAAAATACAAAAAAACATAATAATATCAAAAGGAACTAAAATAACGAAAATAAATTAACACTTACGAGTCAACCAAGAGCTAATTCCAACACTAGGTTTTTTTAATTTCCAAGCAGCATCATAACAAGCTTCATTAAGAAAATGATCACAAAGAAACAAGTCTGGCTTAAATTCAGATGCGGCTTTCATATAAGTTTCGAATCTACTTAAATAATTGGAATTCGAAACCGTTTGTTGGCTCAAAGCTTTAAAAAATGTATACTCTTCTACGAATAATTCATGATAAATATCAGGCATATCCCGAGGATTATGTCTTGGGCCAGTTGAAAAATGTTTAACATATGGATAATTTGGTTGAGTAAAATTCCCTGGAGATACCAGAGCTACCTGAAATTTAAATATAGCAAACACATCAAACAGTTGTAAAAGATTTGATAAAGGGTAATGTAAAAGATCATTCGTACGTTATATCCACGTTCGGATAGAATTTTTGATATTTCTAGTGCTGGACGAAGATGGCACATTCCTTATAAATCAATAAAAACCAAGTAGAAAAATCGCTATTTGAAAAAAGGATAAATTTAATGATGAAAAATATTATCTAAGTGAATGAATTACCTCCAATATAAGATCCGATAAGAATATTTTTAGGAATATCTTCACGATTAAAATCCATTGGCCTTGGAGCAAAATTATTTTCGTTATCATAGTTTGCAGAGGCAGGATTGAATATATTCCATGCTTTTACACCGCCTTGTGAATTATAACCTCCGAGATCATTGCATAATAAATTTATTCCAAGAAGAATTAAGAAAAATTGATACGATGGACGTAATTGTAATATCATTTCTATTTTTTAAAAGTGGAGGGATTAAAGTTGATTTCGATATTACAGAATTGTTTAAAATAGATCGAATGACAAGCTTATTGTTATATTATGAAGCAGAAAAGTTCAATTGAAAAGTCACGTGTTTTAGCGGAGGGAAAAAGAAGTGAAAGAATTAATCTGCAGGAAAACGTTTTATCTTTATAAGCGATCGGGCATATCTGCTTATAAGCTTATTGTATATTCAAAAAATGTTACACGAAAGCATCAGGGAGATCCTGTAACACTTCGAGACCTACGATACTACAAGTTTTAAGGTTAAATGAAGATCTTTTCCTACCTGGTTTAAAAACATTTGTCATAACAAGTTTTATTGTTAACCTAAAATCGAATGAAAGTATAATTGTATAATTTTGTGTAGATCGGAATATTTTGGTAAATTTTTTATTATTTCACGTGACCACGTGGCACTTAGTGCTACAGAATCTACGGTCAATCCGCTTCCCACTATTCCAATCTGAGGATGCTCCGTTACTAATACCGGAAAACATTACACATTACACATTAAGCACGTGCGGGAATTATTTGTAAGTTCTCAACGAAACAAATGAATGAAACAAACGAACGATGCTTTATCTTTTTTAACATTTACGATTTCTAATTATAGAGTTATTGTTATTAACTATTAAGAACACTAAATTTTAACACCTAGGCGATGGTAATTACTGAATTATGCATTCCCTAATTAAGTATGGCGTAAAAAAGACGCCATTGTTTTAGTTAGTTATTCTCGATTTAACGAACTCAAAACGACACTCGCTTGCCAATGCCCCACGAAACTCCCATCCTAAGTTATCTCGTACGATCACATGATAAATAAGCGATCATTACGGGTTAATCCCTGCATCCATCATGATTTCACGTGGGACAACGAATCTGCACATTTTTAAAAAAATCAAACCCGTCTCTTTTTCTCATAACGATAATAATAGGAAGTATTTTTTTTTTCTGGTACGTACCACATGTCAAAACCTGTAATGCAACCTCCGTGAATCACGAGTTAGATTCATATTATTCATATTCAAATGCTAATTGTTTTTCTTTATATAAGTTAATAGTTTTTTTTTTTAATTCTTAAAGTACCGTTAAAAGTAAATAATTAAATCAAAAATGATCTTATATTGCTAATGAGGAATCTGATATTCTATACACATACATGAAAATCCAATAGTTCGCCAAAGATATTTTATAAAGTAAATAAGGGTTTAACGGCTTTCGTTATAATAAAACGTCATTTAAGGTGATTGTGCACGGATAAATGCACGTGCATTTATACAAGGCAAAAAAAATTCACAGATTTTCAGAAATTCGATTTGTTCATTTAATTTCGTCGTTATTTTAAAACATAGTTACTGTAATGTTTACAAACTCCTACGTCACAAGACAAATTCTTACGTATAACTGCATTTGTTGCTTATACGTCATCAATTTTATAAACTTTTTAATGAGTTGTTAACAGAACTACCTCAACTATTAGTCAGTATCATTGTTTATTACTGAATTGTAAGAAACCTCACGTTATCGGTCTAACTAAAATCGGATCTTCGAAAAAAACGAAATATTGACACATCAGATCAAACAATTCATACAAGCCACTTTACATTTCTCAAGTAATTGATTGACATTTTTTTTTTCCTCGTTTCTCGAAATTTTCTCTCCTTTCTTCCTTGATCACACACGCTACTTAATAATTTTTAGGACTCATAATTTGGACCTATCATTTATATATCTCAAAACTTTCCACACTATAATAAAATATCATTATCATTCCATCTTCATCCAAAGATTGCCTTTATCGTAAATTGTTATCTCTATTCCTTGGCATAGAGAAATGTCCAATTTTGAATTTAGGCATCAAACAAGAAGTCAATTACGAAAAAAAAATCAGGATTGGTAAAGAAGTTTCTCAATTATCATTTGTAAAACTGAAGAATATGGAAAGAGAACGTGGATTGTGGAAATGTTTACTAGTTGAAAGAACTTGTTCGTTGACCGATTCCTTACTTGAAAGTCTTGAGGAAGAAGGTAATTATTTTAAAGAAAATTTATTTTTATATTTTATAGTTTAAAAATATATACACAGTATATATTTATTTATTTACTAATTTTATATTGTTACTTTTAATTTTTATTTTAGAATTATTCGGCGTTTTTACTACTTCTTCAGAAGAAGACACGGATGATGATGATGATGATGGTGATGATGAATGCACAGATTCAGAAAATGAAAAAGTTGAGTTCATTTTTGGTACTTGCGAGACAATTGAAGCCAGAGATAACACCATTGATGACGATTATGACGCAGATATAGATGATGATGGTAGCAGTTCAAAAGGAGATTCTTCTGATAGTAATTCAAGGAAACATGGACGCGAGGATGATGATGATGATCTGAGTATGTTGTCATCAAGTGATGCGGATTCTATAGTTTTGAATAATATTTCTTTGGAGCCATCCGATGATATTTTGAGAAAGCACGGACGCGATGAGACTATGTTGTTGAATGAGATTGATACCGTTTCGTCTCTATTCAAGAGTTTCAAACGACAAAGGTGTTACTAGATGGGTTCTTGCTTTATATGGATTGATGTGATTTAAAATTTATTATGTTTGATATGTATATATTATCTTTAAAGTAGTTATTCATTTCTTTTTAGACTTATTAGCAAAACATTATATTATTCGCATTCTTAGATTTCGTACTGAGATTTATGATATTATGGGTTTATCATCTATTGAAATATAGCGTCATTATGTATATATTCATCCGAAATCTGAGAATGCTGATTATCTTGGTATGTTGTTGCGCGGAAAGCACAGGCTCTGGTCAAAGTGGAACTCTGACCTTTAGAAATGATTATTTTGAATTCAAAGCATATTTAAAAAAAAAAAAAAGTTTTTGGAATTTTTGGAATATGTTGAATGAATGATGTTCTAGGGTTAGAAGAAGTGCCAAAGACGTCAATTTTCTTTGCAAACATGATATGGCATAAATGACATAATGGCAATTTTGATGTAGATTTCGCAGACAACTCTCGATGATTAGTTTCATCATATGAAAGAATATCTTTAAGAGAATCTTTGTATTCAATCATTAGTAATAGAATAAATAGGTATATATCAGATATGTTATTAATTATAAAGATTATATTTTACTGTATGTAACAATCCAAATTATATATATAATTATACAATAAATAAGCTGTAAGATCCATTACATATATTGGAACTTTTATTGATAATAACTAAGAACAAGAATTCTATTCGTAATCCTTTTGACTATATCAGATCTTTTTCTGCCAAATTCCTTTAAAAATCTCGATATAACGATAAATTCAAAATAATTACAATTTATTTAAGAATTTTAATACTGAAACTGTAACTTTCTCCATGCATTAATCAATGCATTGATCTAAATGCATTAATTTAACACTTATTGCAAACCTTTGCAACTAGCTGAATCTAAAAATAAATTAACCCAAGTAAGTACTAGCGAAACAAGGCGTGGTTATAGACAAATATATACTACGTACGTATATATGCACGGAGGTAAAGGAGTATGAGATAAGAAAAGTAGGAATGGTAAAAATGTGGAATTTTTATACCGTTTTGAGTGATCGCGTGATTACATTGTTTACTTGACCAAATATTCCCACGTCTCACCAGCATAATGCATTTATCCTTATACTTTATATAAATTTTCCTGCGTGCGCACATTTTAGCGACTCTGATTGGTCGTGTTAAGTTGGTAATTTGCAAAAACGTAAGTTTGTTCACTAGTTTATAATAAAAAAAAACACGTCCATTTTCTATCAACTTTTTCTTTCAATCATGAATCTTCTTGAGTCCACTGTGTATAAATTGGAGCCCCGTTATTAACAGATGTGATTTATCATCAAATCAATGGTCGACCATAAATTTGCTGGTCGTTAATTAAAGGGGTCAAACAGTCTATTACCGTAATTAAATGGGTTTTGAAATCTTAAACGATGTTCAAAAGATTATTTGCCTAGCAAAGCTTCAAAGGCAACAATCAGGACACAGTCACCTGATTTTCCGATTCTGGAAAGCCTTTTTATTTAAGCTTTTGAATTTCTCTAAAACTGGGTCCAGGCAGAATATTGAATAGAATAACCTTTGTGACTTTGATTCCTGTATCTAAGAACTTATTTGACACGAACTGAAAAAAGAAAACAGACCCGAATTGACTTCGAATAATATTGAAATGCATTTCAGAAGTGTTAGTAGATAGAGGGATTTCAAGCATAGAAAGAAAAAAAAAGTTCTAAACCAAAAAAGAACATGTACTAAATTTTCGCAAAACAAAGGCCAGTAAAAAAGTATTCCTCAAGTATTTACGTTTAGGAAAGAGCTATACTCCCGTTAAATTAAAGCGAAAGATCCAATTTATCTTAAGAATTGGATCCGTTTAAAAAAATCTAACCCGGGATTACCAGCAAGTTAATTGTTAGTATACCCGGATAACAGGTAATCTTGCAAATAATATGATTTGATTGGTTAATGTACTATCATGTGATACAAATATATACAAAAAAAAACTTCTCTAAAGCACAATCTCTCTAAATGCACTTTAATTCCGGCTCAAATTTATACTTACCTTATAAATACACTCTTTCTATTGTTTTCTAAGTGCATGCTGTTAAAGTTTGGTCCTATAAGGTACATTTAGTGAGATTTGACTGTATCTTTATGAATATTAATAAAGCAAAAAATAATAATAATTTTAAAATTTAAGACTATTGTATAAGTGTTCTAAAAACCAAACCAAATTAGATTATATTATATAATAAATAAATAATTGTTTTTATTAGTTTTATTTAAATTGAAACTAAAAATTTTTTTTGAATATACAAAAATATAAAGATAATATTTTTACTATTTTTATTATTTTTTGCTTTACAAATATAAATCTATAATAAACTTAGTAATTAAAAAGCCGAATACTAAAGATAAACTAAAATATTCAGGCTAAAAAAAAAATTTTAAAAAATCAGAAATGCTATTTAAATTTATCAAAGTTTTTTTTTGCAGAGTGCCACACTTAACAAACAATATAAAGTTATTTAAAATATAATTAATTTTAAAATTACTAGATAACTGCTTTTAAAGGGTGTCATTTTATAGTACAAAAGACTATTTGTAGTATACCTAAATCCTATCTATTAAAAATATAAATATATAAGCTAGGTGCTAGAAAAAAAAATAAAAAAATTTTTTCAATTCAAATTTTTTATATAAATTAATTTAGGATCTTTTTTTATTTAAGACACAAAAGTAGTTGTGTTAATAAAATTTTGAAGTATAACTCTTTAAAGTTTGTATTTTTTTATAATCTATTATAAGATTTATAACACAAAAATTAATTTTTTGAAGATTTTTTGTTTTGTCAATTTCATTCTTTTTTCTAGCACCTAGCCTATATATATATATTTTCAATATTAAGGTAATCTTTTTGACCAAGAGAAACTTTTATTAAATAATAAAATCTTACACACACCTAATACAATAAAAACAAGTAAGAAGAGAGCAAAAAACATTTGCTTTAAGTTACTCAAAATAGGCTTTCATAATATCAATAGTTTAAAAACAAATTAGCAAAAGTTACTAGCACTAGAGTAAAAAAGAAAATTTAAACATAATTGGTATTGCAGAAATTAATATAAGTAAAAAGGAAGAAAAATGGATAAACACAAACTAGCAGGATTATATTAGCTTTTGGTCGTCCAAAGAGAGGGACAAGAACAAGAGTTCTGGAGTTGGAGTGCTAGTTAACAAAAAGTGATCAAAGCATATAAGTAGAGTAGTAAAACATAGTCTATATGTAATTAGAATAGAGTTCTTCTTTGAAAAAGTAGTATTTCAAGTGTGAATATTGTATCTACTACCTGCAGATAAAAAGATTAATAAGAAAGTTCAATAAACTTTGATAAAAAAAACATGTAGCAATAAGATCAATATGTATACTTGCATAATAGGAGATTTCAATGTAGTAGATAGTACAAATATGGATACAAACAACAATAATCGCAAAAATCAAGAGCTAGGCAAAACTTTAATAAAGTGGCTTAGAAATAGATTTTATAGATTTATTTCGTTATATGAATCCTTACAAAAAAGAATATACCTGGCAAAAGACAATATAGCTTTAAAAATAAATTATATATGGGTAGGGGAAGATTTACAAACCTTATCATGAAAGCAGATATTAGTGACATAAACATTTTAACAGGAAGTGATTATAAGCTCGTCTGGGCAGAAATAGAAACAGATACAATATTATAGTATAGTAAATTTCGGAGAAGGAGAAAAATAGACCAACAAGACAAGTTTCCTTATATTACAAGACAACAGAAGAAAATTAAGAGTCTTATAGCAAGTGTGTAGATGCCTTTTTTAAAAAAAAAGAAATCTTTAATACTAAAAAAACTGCTCAGAGTAACAAAACAGAGCTTAATAAAGAATAGAAAATTATAAGTAGTGCAATATTAAAGGCAGCAATTAAGTATATTCTATGAATTAATATTAAAAAACTGAGACACAGGCCAAAGCCTTAGTTCTAAAACACAAATATACAAAGAAATCAAGTTTTTATACTAGCTAAAAAGAAAAGTTACATGTATAATTGGCAAGAAATAAGCTTTGCTAATTAGATGAAATTCAATATACAGATTAATAGTTTAAATCAATTGTACTAAACGCAAATCCCACAAATGCCAAAACTCTAGAGCCAGGTAGAAGTAGAAGATTTGAAAAATTGGGAAAAATTTTTAAAAAAAAAGGTAGAAGAAAAAGAACACAAACAAAAGAAAAAAAAAATCAGCCTCAAAGTAGAACAGCACTTTAATATGATAAAAAATAATAATAAAAAAATGTTGCAAAGTCTTTTAAACAGATCTTACAACAAAGTAACTATAAACAGGGTTCTACTAAAAGAAAATTCTTATTACCAAAATCAAAAGCTTATTAGTAATGAAAATAAAGTAAAGAAGCAAGTAGTTTCATATTTTTAAAAACAATTCAGAAGAAAAAAGCAAAAATTTAATGAAATAAGTCAGAAATAGCAGAAAGAATACAAGCCAAAAAAGGATATGAATCCAATCTGGTATAAGAATATAATGAGCCCAATTAACGAAGAGAAGTGGTCTCTCACCTTTCGCAAAACATAAAACAATACAGCACCTGGTCTATTATATATTGGCTATATCCTTCTCAAAAAACTGTCTGTAGAATCGATAAAAAGAGTAATAAAATTTGCAAACCTAATTTTGGAGTATAGTAGAATCTCAGATAAGTAGAAGTTAGAACAATTGTATTTAATACCAAAAGGTAATTTTTAAAAGTACAACTTAAGCAATACTAGACCTATAGCCCTACTAGAAATATGTAGAAAAGTGTTAACAAGAGTAGTACAAGTAAGATTAGACAAAGTTATAAGAGAAAATAATATACTAAAAGGTGCAAATTTTGCAAGGCTCTTTGGAGAAAGCACAGTAGCCCCAATTCATATTATGAACAATATAATAGAAGAGGCAGTTGAGGAA